TATATATACTGTATATAGACTAGATTAAACATAATTTATTGCTTGAAGGAAAAAAAATTGTAAAGATATACAATATCATTAGTAGGGGGTACAACAATACGTTTCTGTATCAAACCGTTCAATACAGTGCTTTAGGTTCAATACACACCATGTGATCAACAATCCAGATTTTTAAAATTTATTTTATCACCTTGTCTTCTAAAGATGCTCTGTGTTGAAGGATCAGTGAATCTGTGTTTGTATGCTCCACCTAGGCTGCATTGTCGAGCACAGATCCACTGAGAAACTTGCTGTTTCAGCAACATTTAGTTTAATAACTGTGCTTTTGAGGTTGAACAAATGTTCATGGTTAATTTCATTAAATTACAAGTTAAGAAGAGCATGGACATTTCTCTCTTTTGTATTGACAAAAATACCAAATCTTGACACTAATGTTTCAAACCCAACCGAAACATGAATTTTCTGTATAGTTGTACTCCTAATCATTAGCATTCATTTTTATGCTTTGAAATGTTAAATTTGCAATACATGTATATAATAAAATTCCACACAACTACCCACATTGTACCTTAGAATAATATATAACACAAAAATATAATAAAATATACTTTATAGCAGACTCAATATCAGTTATCAGTGAAATTTCAAACTAAAAGTCTCTAAAATCTCACTTAAAAAGATAAATTTTTTACTCTTACACAAATCTGTTTGATGGGTTTTCTGTGGTTTTTGCCAACATATAAATTCCCACTGACTGACTTTCTCAAAGCTGCTGATCTGGGTTAGCATGTCTAATCCTTCTGCATGTGTCTCCTCCTATCAGATCTCTCTGCCATCTTTATTTTCATKCTCTGTGTTTTATTAGTTTAGTATCCGTTCTGCTCTCATGTCCATCCATCAGGAAATACCTCACGCTGTGATAAAGTAACAGAAATTTAGTCTTCACATGGGGTTTTGCCTTTTTGAAAGAGAGAGAGGAAATAAGGCTGTAAGTTAATGAGAATTAATCATCAGGTAAGATGTTTTGTAATTCATTTAGCTTTTACAGGATCTCATGCAGCTCATTAAGCATCTGTTTGACTCTCTCCACTGTCATCTGTAACATCATTCACAGATGTTCTGTAAATGAAAGCAATAACATCAGCTGACTGACGTGAACTAAAGAGTTTCAGTCCAAATTTGTAGCCATTATTACCAAATGTATAAAATATTTTAACAATCTGGCTGGAGTTTGGATAAAAATGCATCCTAATAAATTTCCCAACAGTCTTGTGGGAGAACTGGTCAAAGTAAATGAGTTTGAGCTTTAAAGTTTGAAAATTTGTAGACTGAAACTCAAAATGTAATAACGAGAAGAATTGCTCGTCCTAATTTTGATTTTTCTCCCATTTTCTTTAGGCTTAAAAAAAAGCAAGAGTGCAACACGCCCGGCTAGAAGAGGATCTGTCATATCACCACTGCCATTTCACCAGAACTCATCTTTGGAGTCGGACTTTGTACAGCAGAGAGGATTTTGAAGAATAATGATCAAAACAGCAACTACCCAGCAGCAGCTGGCACTCGGTCATGCTTTTCCAAAAAAGAAAAAGACAAAAAAATGTTTAAAAAGAACAAAAAGGAGTGACTTTTCTTTCTACTTTGTCATATCAACATTCCTGGACATCATGTGAATTTTACAGTGTTTACTACAACAACAGGACAGAGGCTGGTGGAGGGAGTGGAAGCGTAACGAGAGGAAGAAGAGAAGGGAAGAATCGCTGATGGGATGTGAACGTGTGTTGAAAGACAACCTGTGCCTGGTTTTAAAAAGTGGGTTTTTAAGAACTTTGCTCTTAATGTATTGCCAGATTTTGACATAAACAGGTTTAGGCTGGTGTGTTTGAAAGCTGCTGAAGGTTTGCTGAGACAGAGAGAGATAGAGGGGGGGAAAGAGAGAAGAGAAACCGAGCCTGAGAAAAACTGTAGCATCGTAGTGAAACACAGAACCGTCTGCTCTCATGAACTGAAAATTCATCTGGGTTCACTGTGTTTTTTTTACAAAGAAGAATTTAAATTAAGAAAGGGGGGGGCACTACTTTTAAATCAGACATGTGAAACAGGTTATGAAGTGTGCAAGTTGTGATCTGAGGAAAAAGCAAGTGAGATGCTGAGTTCATCTGACGGCGTTTCTGTTCACACGGCGCCGCAGGAGGAAGCTGAAATGGAAACGAGTCCAAACGGCGACGTACGGTGGGCTGTGTGAGCCAGGCGGTTACTCGTGTGAACACTCAGGTTGTGTAGTGGTGCGGCTTCACGAGTTGCTGAGCTAGTTGCTGTTTGTTAGTGTTGTGTAATAAAGAGAATATAAGACAATATGTTTATAAATGATTTTTTTGTTGTTGTTGTTCTTGGTTGTTTTGAAAGAGGGAAGTTTGTTCCCTTGTTTAAAAGGTTAGCTCTAAAAGTTGGTTTTTATATAAATGTATATTAGAGTAAAACAAAACCAAGAAAAAAATGTGAAAAATTACGACAAAAACAGCAAAAAAAAGAGAAAAGAAAAAAATCAGACTTCTTAGTTGTATATTAATACCACATGTTTGGAAAGCACATCTCATTTGATATTGGCTCACCATGTTTGTAAATGACAAATAACCACATGTATAACTTCGATGTGTGTTGTCAAGTCCACAGCAAGGTTCACCTATTTATATTTTGTGTTTTCCAGAAGGGTAACAGGTTAATGGATATGTGTTTCTCCAGCAGGGTCAGACAGGAAATAAGGAACAATCTGATAACATTAATAATAAAATATAAAGATTTTTTTCTATTTCTCATGCATTTCTAGKTCATGTAATCACCACAAACCTGCTGCTGCATCTTTAATGAAATTATAAAGTCGTGAGCATGAAGAAAAAAATCTTTACAGATGTTTATATTCTTTCCAAGTGCCAGTTTTTCCGTGGTGTCGTTTCTGGATATGAACTAATTCATTCAAGCGCATGAGATGAGAGGTGGATCACAGGTTGCGGTCAGAGACGGTGGCATTGTGTATGTTTAAATATCAAGYTTGGACTTATAGTATATATATTTTTACAGTGGCATTGGGGTGGGAAGATGAGGAGCAGAATCCTGATCCGATTGAAGCTGGTGTCACTCATGCGTCTCTCACTCAAGGCGAACGGCATGTGCCTGCGTTAGTCCGATTCTTTTCTTTGTGACGTATGTGACTTTGTAAAGCTTGCATATTTTACACGGTGTTTACAAAGATGTACGTTGTGGTTAAAAAAATCAACTTACTGTATAATAAATTGATTTCTTTTTTTTAAAAAAAGGCTAAACATGTCATAACGCCCACCATCCCTTTTGTGTGTCCTCAGACGTGTGGTTTCATTGGACAAAGACCCATGTGTCTGTCTGCTCCTAAATGCACTACCACAACCAAAGGATCTGGAGTTGTGTTCACATGAWTTCAAAAAAACAAAGTGGGGTTCTTGGGTTTTTGTGAATGTGCATCCCGTCGTACATTTACAGAACGGAGAACCGTACAACTGTGCTGTAAAATCCACGGACAGGCGTCGAATCAAACAAACCTACCTGTGTAGATAAAAACGATTCAAGACGTCCAACTAAAGGAACTGAGTAGCAGATGTGTTTGTACCTTTCACGTGCCTTAATCTTTTCCATGGTAGATGAAGAGAAATGTGTTTTATATAACTCCATTCCAACCCTTCTGACTGTCATCTCCCCGTTCCTTCTGTTCACCTTCCCTCCCTGTGTCAAACCCGCCCCCCACAGCCCACTAAAACTCTTCATTTCATCCATCCCGCCCCCACCCCCTCTGCCCCCCTTTATGTAGTTTAGACTGTTGGCGGGTCCCTGCCTTGTATTACATTGTATAATAAACTTTTAAAGAGTTAGTCGTTTGACAAATGGGTTTGGTTTCCTAGAGAAGTACGGCTGGTAAAGCTTTCGTAGTGATCAGAGGCGATGCCACAGTGACAGAATGTATTATGTTCATTTTACTAATACCCAGAGGCAAATATTACGCTTGTTAAACWTAATGGAAAAAAATACTGGTTTGTAGAGTATAAATTTGGTGTGTTTTCAATAAATCATGCCTGGAAAGAAGGTGCTACTGTCTCTGTGTCGTGTGTATTCACTCGCATCGTCCCCTCCTCCCACTGATCGGAAAGATCTTCATTCCTCCTCAATTGCTGCCAATCACTGTCAGATGTGATTCAGTTAAATCCCCCAGGGTGCAATCAGACTGTTGTAAGATCTAACCATCCACAATTTTTGGAAAAGGAAAGTACACCTTCGTTCAGTTCCGGAGTTTTATCAGGACATAATAAAATGATCTGGTCTTTACAGGCTCTAAACTTCTACAAACCTAACCTTAAAGTGTATTAAAACACAATTCAGCCCTATCATTATTTGTTAAAAGTTAAGCTGAGATAGAAAAGTGTGGAAAAATTAAGTTCACCTCGTGATTCAAAAGCTTGTAGAACCTTCATCAGCAGCAATAACAGTAGTTTTCTTGCTGATTTTATCCCTCTTTTACATTGTTATAGAGGAATTTTGGTCCACTCTGCTTTACAATGTTGTTTCAGTCCATTAAGGTTTGCAGAAATTTGTTTCTGAACAGCTCTCTTAAGCCTCCATCACTATATTTCAGTCAGGTTCAGGTCTGGACTTTGACGGGGTCAGTGCAGCCACTTCTTTTTTCCTGTCATTCTGTTGAAGATTAGCTGTTGTGTTCAGGATCAATTGTTCTGCTTCATCATGACTCAGTCAGACGGTCTCACATTTGACTTCTAAACCTTTGGTTAACAGACAAGTTTGTGGTCGAATCAATGACTTCAAGGTGCTCTGGTCCTGACGCTGCAAAACAATCCCAAACCATCAACCATCCACCAGTGTGCTGACAGCTGGTATGCAACGTTAGTGCTGTGTTTGATGTCCTCAGTCTACATCTTCTACCGCTTATCAGTAGTTGGGTTGTGGAGGCAACAGACCCAGGAGAGAAACTCTGACAACACCAACATTTTCCAGGTACTCTTAGGGAACTCCTGACATCTCTGAGTCAAATGCTTTAACTTTCAGATCCAATATTTGATCAAACCAACAAATGACCCAATAGCTGTAACTCAACAATAGACTTATGAATATAAGCCAACAGGTTTTATGGTGTTTGCTCACAAACATTTCAATGTTGGGAATCAAGTCAGATTTTTTACACTTGTGAAATGTTTTCAAAGAGAAGGCTTGGTGCCATATTGTAAAAACAACACAAGCATACTAAATGAGAACAAGAAAAGAAAATTATGCATTTTYAAATTTGTAGCAATGGACCCAAAATGTTGTCCTTTCTGTGTGATGGAGGACAACAGATACCTGGATGTTCACCTGAGCTATAACGCCGAGACAAAAGGGAACAGAGCTGATTCTACTTTTAGTGGAAGCTTTGCTTGTGTTGGGAAGTACAGGGAAAAACACCAGAGACTCAAAGAGACTGAAAATATTGATAAAGCTGGTTCCATGCAGCTCGGAGCTGATTGTGGAAAAAAACTATTTTGCCTAAAGTTGTTAAGCTAATGGACAACAGTGCAAACCCACCAAAACACACATTGATTAAACAGTGTTTTCTGTCACAGGCCTGRTCAGCTGCTCAGCTAAAGGAGCAGTAAACAAGGTCATTACTGTCTGCTTCAGTGATGAAAACAGGCATCCCCAAATGGCGGACGTATATGTCCAAATCTGGACCAACTGAGTAATGGTTCTATCCGGACCTGTGCCCAGTCTGACACGTTAAGAAAAATAAATCATTTAAATTTTTCAGGGGATGGACAGTTTAGGCACAGAGTCAAACAGAAATGCTGGTGGTGTGCTTTGGAGCAGTGGTCCCAAACTTTTCAGCTTTTAACCCACAGAATACCAGCAGCAGAGACTTGTGACCCCAGCTGTTGGTTGATAAACATTGTTTTCACGTAAAATAAACGAGCATAGTAACATTATTTATTATGCTATTTTTGTTCATTATAAGTACACTAACTTTACTCTTTTGTAACAACAAAATTGTAATCAATTCAAAAAATCTTTTCAGGACCCCACCTTGATGTTTCTGGACCCCACTGTGGGTCCCGACCCCAACTTTGGGAACCACTGCTTTGGAGGTTACCTCTACTCCAGTTATCAAAGCTTCACTCAGTTGAGCCAATCAAATCTTTTGTTTGCCCTGTGAACCCACAGGGTAAACAAGTCCGAGCYGAGAGCATGCAAACTGACCGAACTGCAAGCCCAGAATGACAGATCTGACTCATCACAAATACTTTCACATTGACATTTGATGAAAAAACAAAAAGACAAGATGTCTGAAAAAAACAAAAACAAATCTTGATGTCAGCTTCAACATTAACCAGATAAACATAAATATTAGCAGATGATGTTCTAATAACTAGGCTAGTTGTGTACTGTAACATGCAGTTTGTCTGCAGTAAAATGTGTAGAGGCGCGACTTAAAAAATAAAAGTTGGGCTTTCTTTGGACCTTTTAGAACTAAATTTTAATAACTGGATGTCATCTCAGTGAGTTTTAATTGAATACCCCTGATCTAGAAAAAACCTCTTCAAATTTTATSTTGTTGAATTAGGACACAGCATGGTTATTTGCAGGCCAGTTTTGTTTCTGTTGTTACTAAATGTTTTGTAATCTTGTTTGTATGTGGTTATAATACATTTTAAATTCAGTTAAGTTTGATTAAATTACAAATCCCACAAAATATGACAGTGTTGGAAAATTTAAATTTAATGTTACCATTCTTAGCTGAAAAGGGGTAGCATTATAC